CCAGCTTTTTTGCCCCTCTTTTTTCTCCTTCTGGGGCCATGAGGCGCTGTCCTGGGCGGGAGAGACGCATGCGAGTTCCACCATTGGGACCTTCGGTGAAGCTTCCTATGGGGCAACGAAGCGCTGTATTGGGCGGGGGAGCCGCATGTGAGTTCCACCAGTGAGGCCTTGGTTGGGGAGACCCATGCGAGTGCCACCATTGGGACCTGCGGTGGAGCTCCCTATGGGGCCACGAAGCGTTGTACTGGGTTGGGGAGCCACATGCGAGATCCACCATTGGGACCTTTATGTGGACTCCCTATGGGGCCACGCAGCGCTGTACTAGGTGGGGGAGCCGCATGCGAGTTCCACCACTGGGACCTTCGGCGGAGCTCCCTATGGGGCCACGAAGCACTGTACTGGGTTGGGGGGCCACATGCGAGATCCACCATTGGAACCTTCGGTGTAGCTCCCTATGGGGCCACGAAGCGCTGTACTGGGTGGGGGAGCCGCTTGCGAGTTCCACCATTGGGACCTTCGGTGAAGCTCCCTGCGGGGCCACGAAGCGCTGTGCTGGATGGGGGATCCGCATGCGAGTTCCACCACTGGGACCTTCGGCGGAGCTCGCTGTGGGGCCACGAAGCGCTGTACTGGGTGGGGGAGCCACATGCGAGTTCCACCACTGGGACCTTCGGTGGAGCTCCCTGTGGGGTCACGAATCGCTGCACTGCGTGGGGGAGCCGCATGCGAGATCCACCATTGGGACCTTCGGTGAAGCTCCCTATGGGGCCACGAAGCGCTGTGCTGGCTTGGGGGTCCGAATGCGAGTTCCACCACTGGGACCTTCGGCGGAGCTCGCTGTGGGGCCAAGGAACGCTGTATTGGGCGGGGGAGCCGCATGCGACTTCCACCACTGGGACCTTCGGTGGAGCTCCCTATGGGGCCACGAAGCGCTGTACTGGGTGGGGGAGCCGCATGCGAGTTCCACCACTGGGACCTTGTGTGGAGTTCCCTATGGGGCCACGAAGCGCTGTGCTGGCTTGGGGGAGCCGCATGCGAGATCCACAACTGGGACCTTCGGTGGAGCTCGCCGTAGGGGAGCCGCATGCGAGATCCACCACTGGGACCTTCGGTGGAGCCCCCTGCGGGGCCAGGAAGCGCTGCGTCTTCACCGCTGGGACCTTCGGTGGAGCTTCCTATGGGGCAACGAAGCGCTGTACTGGGCGGGGGAGCCGCATGTGAGTTCCACCAGTGAGGCCTTGGTTGGGGAGACCCATGCGAGTGCCTCCATTGGGACCTGCCGTGGAGCTCCCTATGGGGCCACGAAGCGTTGTGCTGGCTTGGGGGTCCGCATGCGAGTTCCACCACTGGGACCTTCTGTGGAGTTCCCTATGGAGCCACGAAGCACTGTACTGGGTAGGGGAGCCACATGCCAGATCCACCGCTGGGACCTTCGGTGAAGCTCCCTGCGGGGCCACGAAGCGCTGCACTGGGTGGGGGAGCCGCATGCGAGATCCACCATCGGGACCTTCGGTGAAGCTGCCCATGGCATGGGGCCACGAAGCGCTGTGTTGGCTTGGGGTCCGCATGCGACTTCTACCACTGGGACCTTCGGCGGAGCTCGCCGTTTGGCCAAGAAACGCCGTATTTGGCGGGGGAGCCGCATGCGACGTCCACTACTGGGACCTTCGGTGGAGCTCCCTATGGGGCCACGAAGCGCTGTGCTGGGTGGAGGAGCCGCATGCGACTTCCACCACTGGGACCTTGTGTGGAGTTCCCTATGGGGCCACGAAGCGCTGTGCTGGCTTGGGGGTCCGCATGCGAGTTCCACCACTGGGACCTTCGACGGAGCTCGCCGTTTGACCAAGAAACGCTGCACTGGGTGGGGGAACCGCATGCGACTTCTACCACTGGGACCTTCGGTGAAGCTCCCTATGGGGCCACGAAGCGCTGTGCTGGGTGGGGGAGCCGCATGCGAGTTCCACCACTGGGACCTTGTGTGGAGTTCCCTATGGGGCCACGAAGCGCTGTGCTGGCTTGGGGGAGCCGCATGCGAGATCCACCACTGGGACCTTCGGTGGAGCTCGCCGTAGGGGAGCCGCATGCGAGATCCACCACTGGGACCTTCGGTGGAGCCCCCTGCGGGGCCAGGAAGCGCTGCGTCTTCACCGCTGGGACCTTCGGTGGAGCTTCCTATGGCGCGGAGGGCAGACGCAACGAGGGGGAGGAGGGAGGAGGGGGGGAGGAGAGGAGAGGAGGAACGCGGGGCGCTGTCTCTTCGAAACGAGTGCCCAACACCACAGGATGGTTGGGACAAAGCTTGCGCGCGCGCGTTTGGGAGTTATCCGGACATCTATAGGTTTGCCAACATTGTCGTCCAAGTCTTGAAGGTTCGCGTATCCCCACCAGCCCATCCATAAACGATCAGCAGGGGAGTTGGTAGGTCAAGGACGACCGGAAGCATGCAGTTGGGCTGTCGTCTTCAGTTAAAAAAACAAGGATCACACATATTTTCCCGCATTGAAGTTTAAGATGGACTTTTGTGCAAGATACGACGTGGTGTTTCCCGCGGTGAACGTCAGTAGCGCAGGTGGCCGTATACACCCTGGGCTATGGCACACGAGCCTCAAACGAGTATCATGTACATTACATTTCGAGCCCAAGCGACGACGGAGGTAACGTGGAGGGGGCCGGGCCCCCATAGAATAGAAAATCCGATTCTACGACGGACTCAAATGTGCGACAGTTGGCCCAGAAGGGGGGGGTCAACATTCTTGCCTCCTCCTGGAATTTTGACCCTCCCTCTCCCGGGCCACGGGCAATCTCTTTTTTCGGCCTGTCCCCAAAGATTCCTGGGCCTCCTCGCTCAGGCGGGACTTCCCTGGAGAGGGGGGGACGGAGGAAGGAAGGAAAGGAAGATGACAAGAAGGATGAGAAGTCGAACTTTGGGCAAATGTTTTTGCGAGAGGTTCTTGGGGAACTCTTGGGGCCATCTCACGGGCTCTCTTGGGCTCCCTGTGGGGCTCTCTTGAAAGGTCTCTTGGGGCTCTTTTAAGGTTCTCTTTGGGTTCTTTTGGGGAGTCTTGGGGCCCTCTTGGGGCTCTTTTGGGGGGTCTGGGAGACTTCTTGGGGACGTCATGGATCCCTTCGCCCAAAAAGAGGGGGTAGTAAATTTAGGCCCCCTCGGAGGCCCAAAAGGGCCCTCTTGGGCCGCTCTTCGGGCGCTCTTGGGCGCTCTTGGGGCCGTCTTGGGGCCCTCTTAGGCCTCTCTTGGGCTATGTTGGGCCATCTTGGGACCACCTTGACGCCTCAAGAGCCCATCGGAAGCGAAACAGCGAAAAGGCAAAACACACTGATGTTCCATAGGTTTTGAATCCATGTTGGCCTCTTGGGGGGGTCCTTGGAGGGCTCGGAGGGCACTTGAAACCGTCTTGGGGCCGTCTTGAGGCCTCGTGTATGCGTGTTGGAGGCTATCTTGAACCGTCTTGAGGTACCTTGGGCGATCTTGGAGGCCATCTTGGGCTAGCTAAAGCCATCTTGAAGCTATCTTGGGCCATCTTGGACGCTCTAACCCCTCGCCGGGAAGCCCGTCCAGACCCAGGGAGGGGGGGGGGTAAACCTCCCGAGCAGGGACAGGAAGGAGGTTAGAAAAGGAAGCGCTCTAGACCACCTGCGCCCAGAGGGCCAGTGGGATTGTGCCACGCGGGCCTCTCGCGCCGCATGCCGAACCCATCCAGGCGCCCTTGTGCGCGTGCTGGGGGGGGGGCGGCGCGATCCGTGTCAAACCATACCACGCGGGCCACTCGCGCGCGTCGGCCGCAGGGGCATGCCAAACTTCCCCCAACACCGTCTTCGCGGACGCGAGGACATCGTCACCGTTATCGGCGGGCGTGATCAGCATCGGCGCAAGTCATTGGCCTTGCCGCCGCCGTTGTCATCATCGTCGCCAGCATCGCTACCATCATCATTTTTTATACCATCGTAGTGTGCCCGCCCAAGTCGGTGACTCGCATTGAAGTGCCCGCTGGGAAGTGCCCAGCGGTCAGCGCCATCGCGGCCGCGTCGGCCGCACCAAGCCAGCCAGCCGCTGCGCTCGCGAGCATGCGCAGGATAGCGCGGCCGCATGGGCTTATGCAAACCCAGTTGCGGGTGGGTGGGTGGGACAAATGCGCGAACAGTGGGGTTGACAACTTCAACTTCTGCAGGGTGACTTGCACCACATACATTGCACCACATATATATGTATGTATGTATGTATGTATGTTTGCTTGTATGTATGTATGTGTGTCTGTCTGTCTGTCTGTCTGTCTGTCTGTCTGTCTGTCTGTCTGTATGTATGTATGTATGTATGTATGTATGTATGTATGTATGTAAATATACCTATCACGTTTGGTTTGGCACAGCCCATATCGCACATCTTTTTCCCCAATCGTTGCTTGCACTGAAAGGGTCCTAGCGGACATTGAAAGATGTGGTGAAAGTTTCCCGCCGATTTTGGTAGCCGGCTGGGTTCCCGGGTTTCCGGTTCGGGGTGCCCGGGTTGTTGGTTATTGGTTCCCGGTCGATTTCGGTGGGTTCCCTGTTTCTGGGTTCCCGGTCGATCTTTTTATTTATATGTTTATCGATCCCGCGATTCATTATCGATCTCATGATCGATCTCATTGTTCATATCATGCAATCGATCTGCCCCAGAAATACTGCACAGCGTAGATTTGAGCTCATCGGGAGCACCACATGTATCGCACAGCGTTGTTTGCATCTGCGGTGGTACCACATAGATTGCACCACTTCCTCCTCCTCCTCCTCCTCCTCCTCCGGTTCCATCTCTTCCTTCTCCCTGCTCCCCATCGTCGTCCCCCGCACATCTCCCGATGAGACCAACGGAAAATAATAGGTGAATCTGTGGAGGGAGGAGGGAATGTGGGGGGAGGTTGGGGAGGCGGCTCGACGAGAAGGAGGAGGACGAGGTGTTGAAGGACGAGGTGGTGCGAAGGTAGGCTCTCCGTCGTGCTCTGTGGCAGGTCTGGTGCGTCGACGGCCTGGCGGTGGGCGACGAGATCACCATCACCGCAGAGGACGGCACGACCGAGAAGAAGGTCTTCTTCACCTCCCGTCCCCTCCCCATTCCGCTCTTGTTCCTCCCCGCACCTCCGCACGCCTCCCCTCCTCCGCACGCCTCGCCTTCTCCTACATACGTAATTATCCCTCCTCATCCTCCGCCTCCTCCTCCGCACGCCTGTCCGTCTCCGCCCGCAGCGCCCGCGACGACTGGCTTGAGGCGGGCCTAGTCGACCAGAGCTCCTCATTCGTTGTGTCTCCTTATCTTACCGGGCCTCCGTCCTTATCCCTCTCTTGCATGCCCTCTCTCCTCTTTCCTCTCCTTCCCTCATGCGCCTGTCGTTCCTTCCCTGGTTCCTCCTCCGTCTCGTCACCGTTGTCCCCCCCCATATCCATGATCATACCATCCTCACCATGATGTTGCAGCCTTCTCTGGTCTTACCCCCCCCCTCCGTACCCATCTCAGTGGTCCTCCCCGCGTCATGTGTCTCCAGTTGCCCTCTCCTCGGCCTCGTTCGTGTCGGCCTCATCATCGTCGTCATGAGATTCGGCCGCCCCGTTTTTCCCTCCTCGGTGTCCTCCTGCTTCCTCCCTGTCGTTGCTGTGGTGCGCCCTCCTCCGCGCCCCCCCACGCCCGCCTCCACGCGACGTGCCCTTCACGTCCTCATCCTTTTCTTTTGTTACGTCCTCTTCCTCCTCATCCCTCTTCCGTCTGCCCTCTTCCCCCCCTTTTCCTCTCCCTCCTCCTCCTCCTCCTCCCACTCCTCCTTCACTCCTCCTCGTCTTCCTCCCCCTCTTTCCTCCTCCTCCTCCTCTTCCCCCTCCTCCTCCTCCCCATCCTCCCCCCCTCCCCCGTCTCCTCCTCCATCCTTTCCGCGAGCAGGTTCGTAAGGGCGTTGTTCCAGGTCGCAACGGCCCCTCGAGGGTCACTCGGGACCGCGAGGGCGGCATAATCAGGCGGCACGCCAGCTTCCGTGGTGGCCCGCGGTTGCCAGCGCACTCCAACGAATTCTACCCTTCCGCGTTGCCGACCGCCCTGGCGTGATTTGGGCCAGGGTGGATCTGAAATTCCTGCCATATCCTTGCGTCATCTTGCTCGCTCCTTCCTCCTTCTCGTCGTCGTTGTCGTTCCTCCTCTCCCTTCCTCTCCTTCCTGTTCTCTCCTCCTCCCCGCTCTGCTTGTCCCCCTTGTCGCCGTCGTCGTGGTCCTCGTCCTCCTCGTCTCCGCCGCCGCTGCCGTTGTTTTCGTGGTACCGCTCCTTTTTTCCCCCTCGTCCTCCTTCTTATCCTCCTCCTTTTCCTTCCTTGCTTTTCCTGCTTTCCCTAGCGCCAGGTTCGTGGCGTGCGATGTACAGAATCCAGAATCCTGCCTCCTCACCCCTCTTCCCTCACCCTTGCGTCCTCTTCCCCCTATCTCTCCCCATTGGTCCTCCTCTTCCGCTTCACCCTCTCTCGTCCCTCTTCTCCCCCCCGCCCCCCTTCCGCACTCCTTTCTCATCCAGCGTCATCTCTCCATCTCTCCTCCTTGTCCTTTTTTCCCACCTTCTCTTGCTCCTCCTTATGCGCGCTCTTCCTGTTAAAGTTCCTCCTCCTTCTTATTCCTCGTCCTCCTCTCTGTTCACCCTCTACCGTCCGTCCCCATCCTCTTCATCCTCCACAGTCTTTCCTCCGCATCCTTCCTCCTCTCCGTTCTTCTCATCCTTCCTCCTCATCCCACGGAGGTCGTCGCGACCATCGACACCAGCGACGTGAACAGCCCAAAGCTCTCGTTCGAGACAGGCCAGGCTGCCGGTCGGACCGGTCGACGAAGATGCAATATGTAGCGCGCATGTATGTTGGTGGCACACAACGGCTACACCGCGGCTGGATCAGAGTTCGCGACCGAACAGCCGCTACTCCACAGCCGTACGACCTCGAATCTCTTCGATTGAACTTCCCCGCGGACGAACTTCCTGCACTGCCCAATGCTGCGGTTCCTTTTGCGGCTTCTTCAAGCGGCGGTGGGCAGGCGGGGGCAGAGGGCAGATGGCAGAGGCAATCGCGGGGGGCGGCACAGGCTGAGGCTGGGTGAGGTGGGCAGGGGCAGTCTCCTTCTCCTCCGCATCCGCCCCCACTTCCGCATCGTCGTCTGCCTCGTGTTCCTTCCTCCTCGCGGGCGCGGGGCAGGACACAGAGTAAGGTAATCGCGTGTGTGTGCACGTCCTAAGCGATGTTGAAGGCCTGGACCCCGCGCGCGGTTCGGCGTCTCCTTCATTTTCTCCGCCTCGTCCTTGCGCGCGAGGCCGCGATGGCCAAAAAGTGTGTGTTGCGCGCGCGCGCGCGTGTGTGTGTGTGTGTGTGTGTGTGTGTGTGTGTGTGTGTGTGTGCGTGTGTGTGTGTGTTGATCGCGTGTGTGTGTGTGTGTGTGTGTTTGTGTGTGTGCGTTTGTGTGTGCGTTTGTGTGTGATGGAAAGAGTGTGTGTGTGTGTATGTGTGCGTGCACGTGCGTTTGTGTGTGCGTGCGCGAGTGAGCGCGTGAGCGTGTGAGCGTGCGCGTTCCTGTACTGACTGTATCGCGTGTGCGTGTGTGCTGCGTCCGTAGCATCTTTTGCTCAATCATTTTCGGCTCAAGTTGCCTGCTCGCCCAGCCTCTGGTTCGAGCTGGCTACGGTCATGGCCGACGCAATGACGGAGGCTTTCCTCGGTGCTGTTGTGATCGCTGGCTGCTCTCGCCAGGTGGTGGCGGCCATAGCGGTGGCCTTCTGGCGAGCGTCCCAGGCTGGCGGCTGGCGGCGGTAACTTGCAGGTCGAGGACAAAGAGGTGGATCACGATATCCAGGCGCGTGTCGAGCTCATCAAGCCCGTTTTGCGAGCGAAGGTCGAGGCGACGGTCCGTGACGGGCCGATCGAGATCGACGGCGCGGCGACGGCGTTCCGGAACGTCGCGGAGCATGGCCTTTTCGGGGAGGTTGCGGAGGCGCTGCCACAGTGCGGGAAGGAGGTCAAGTGGCAGCAGAGGGGGCGGCGGCTTCGTGCCCGCGGCGCGCAGGACACCATCATCGGCATCAACGGCCACCTCGATGTCTAGATCGAGATGCGCCAGTTCTAGTTCGTCGACGAGGACGCAACGATCCTGGAGAACACTCGGTTCCGCGAGGTGGCCACCAAGAACGGCCCCAAGTCCGCGCAGGTGGAGGAACCGATGAAGAATGGCCAGAAGGCGGAGTTTGACCCGACTTCGAAGTTCACGAAGGAGGTGCAGGTCGACAAGGCTAGGAAGGTCGCGGTCTCTGCGTGCATAGCGGACTCCTGCGCGCGCGAGTCTACCGAGCGCGACTGGTCCGTCAGAGTGGTGCGCCTCGCGAAGGCGCAGGCCCCGACGGAGACCGCGACCAACCGAGCCGCGTCGAAAACCAAGGGCGTGGGGGGCAAGAGTATGACACGCGACGCCGACGAAGAGCGCGGTTCGCGCATCCTCGGCGACGGGAAAGGTGTCCTCCGCGCGGGGTTCAAAACCGAGCCGCCCTCTTCGCGCGTGCCAGCCTAGTGCCTCCAGCCCCAGAGGCCAAAGGCCTCAGGGTCGCCGACGCGGCGCAGCGCTCTTCCTGCCCGCATGTATTGGAGGAGGTAGCGGCTACCTGGTTACCTCTTCGTTCGCTCTGTCGGCGGTGCCGAGGTTTCCCCGAGCCCGCCTGCTTCCCCGTCTTCTTGCTTCGGCTGAACAGGCAAACCCGCTAGCGATGTGCATGCAGTTGGGCAGCACTTATTGGCGTCGAGCGGCACGCCGCGCGCTGATGCAGCAGCGCGGCAACGTTGCACTTTTTTCTTCCTGCCAGGATGCCGCCCTTCGGGAGGCAAGGGCATGGGCGCCGCCTGGTGGGTTCACTCGGGCTTGCGCAGGTAGCAGAAGGCCTTTCGGGGGGGGGGGAATGCGAGTGCGCGTGCGCTGTGTGAAGTTTTACGCGCGCGCGTGTGTGTGCGTTCGGGATTGCCCGAGCAAGCCAGCGCGACCGTGCGTGTGCGCGTCGCGTGCGTTTTTTTGGTGCGCGCTGGATGGGGCCAGGGCGCGGGCAAGCAGAGAGGCCAGGGGCCAGGAGGGGGCGGCTCGAGGAGGAACAAGAGGAAGAGGAACCCATGGACCAGCACGAGGAGGGGGAAGAGGAGGAGGAGGAGGACGGGGAAAGGGGGAGGAAGAGGAGGAGGAGGGGGAGGAGAAGAAGGAGGAGGAGAAGAGAATGGAGGAGGAGGAGAAAGAGGAGGAAAAGAAAGGAGGAGGATCAGTGCACCAGGAACCAGGCACCAAGAACGGGAGGATAGAGGGACAGGAGGAGGCAACGAGGACTTTCAGCGCTTACCAGACAAAAGGGTGGGGCGAGGGGCGAGGGAGGTCCAGAGGTGCTGAGGGCAACCGAGGAGGCAAACGCGGCGATGTGGGCATCAGAAAAAACCTGCTTGCACCCTGGCAGAGTCCGACCCTTCCAACAATCAGAGGCGGCGACGTCCGAACCCGACCCGCGCCAAGCATCCGTTCTCCTGGACCGATGGGAGGCGAGGGTCGGGTTTGGATTTGGCCACGTGCCTGATGAATTCCGAACCACACCCCTGCCGCCCATCGAGTTGCTTGAATCGCTGATCGGCGGGTGTAGGGTTTGGATTTCGCCGCCGACGATTACTGTTGCCTCAACTCGCCCTCCTCCGAGCCTCGGCGCGACAGACACCTACTGCACTGCTGCCTCCTCTGAGCTGCCATTTTTGCTTGCTCGGACCTCACGGTCATTCTGTTGGTCCTTGCGCGTCATCGTTAACCGAGTTTTGTCGGGGCCGAATCGGCGCCAATCGAGGCCAAGTCGGCGCCTTCGATTCGGCGTTTGGCGTCCCTGCGCCCTGCCCTGGCAGCAGGCACGCTCCTCGAAAGGCGCACAGGCTGACGGCCCCCGCGTGCGCCTGCCCGCGACTCTGGAGGGCGGCCGCTCGGAGGCATGACCGTTTGGAATCGTTCGGACGCGTGTCCCGGCGAGGACCATCAAGTGGTATCCCCGAGTGTGGAGCGAGAGTGAACCAAAGCGATTTGTTCATGCTTGGGACCATGTTGTGCATGGCGCCGCCGCCACGGTATCACATCCGTGGCGGGGGATCGGGACATATGGTGAGTCTTCCCTGCTGCGCGCTTGCCCGCGCCCCGTGCGCACTACAGAAAACAACATCCTTGAGACAATCGTCTCCGGACGGTGCTGTTGCGAAGGAGCACCAACCTTGGCATCGTTCGGAAGTATGCATTTGTTCTCGGCGAGGACGATCGAGGAGCACCCTGGGCCATTGAGCACCAAGTAAGCACGCACGAGATCGAGAGAAGGCCGGGGAAAGGCCGTCCGAGCGACGGCGAGAGGACCGCGATGCCCGCCTTCGGGCGTGGCCCAAGCGCGACTCGGAGCCTTCCCTTAGCTCTGGGCGTTGCAGCGTTTTCGCACCGGGCGTCTTCGCCCGGTTTCGGACCCCGGGACCGTTGCAGACCGATCTCGTCGGGAGCCTCGAGACGGGGGTCAATGCAAACGGGGGTCAGCCAGGGCACCATATCCTGCAGGATCCTGCGAAGACCCCCTCTGGCTGACCCGGGTTAGCGGGCCGCTCGTGGCGGCGAGGCGGCCGCGCATATTGGTTGACCCGGGTTTGCAAAGACCTGCGTTGCAGTTTTTGTTTCTGCATAGCAGTTTTTTGGTTTCCTGCTGACTGGGGTCTGGATCGACCCGGGTCAGAAGATCCCCGATCTCGCTGGAAACATGCAGGATCAAGATGGGGGTCTAGGGCTCCGGTCGCCATTTTCTGCGATGTTCCAGTTGTTTCGCGACATCGGATATCCAGGCCCGCACAGAGGCAGGCCTGGCTGGCCGAGTACTCCCTGGGCGATTGCCCCCGCGTGCGCCCGCGGTTCCGGGAGGCGAGGGCTGCAAGGCTGACCGCGGTGCCCGCCTTCACATGGTCGCCCCAGATCGGGTGTTACTGGAAGTGCCCCTGGCCCAGGGTGCCCCCAGCTTTTCGCTCCGTCTCGGAGCCCCTGGGGCCCTCCTGCCCTCGTGAGGGGTGCCCTATCGAGGCCGTCTGGACCACCCCGAGAATCCTGGGGGTACCCTGGGCCAGGGGCCTGGCATCGCTCGGACGTGTGTATTTTTTTCTCGGCGAGGACCATCGAGGAGCCTCCTTGACCACTCGGCGAAAAAACCACGCACGAAACCGAAAAAAACACAGGAAATGGACGTCCGAGCGATGGCGAGGGGGGCACTCCTGGCAACACCCGGCACCAGAAGGTGGCGGAGGCTCCGCCCGCACAGGGGGCAGGCCCAGCTCCTGCCGCGGCCACAACGGGGCCCGGCCCACCCGGCCCGGGGCGGCCGCCGAGGGGGCCGGCGCTGCCGGGCGTGGAGGGTGCGGTCGGGTCCTCCTCCTCCTCCTCCTCCTCCTCCTCCTCCTCCTCCTCCTCCTCCTCCTCCTCCTCCGCCCCCTCCTCCTCCTCCTCCTCCTCCTCCTCCTCCCCCTCCGCCTCCTCCATCTCCTCCCCCTCCTCCTCCGCCTCCTCCTCCGCGAGCATAGGGGCAGGCTCGCCTTCTGCCACGCCCAGCGGCTCGGACGTGCGCATTTTCGAGGGGCCTGTTTTCCACCACCACCACCACCAGAAGTTGGAGGAGGAGGGGGTCCTCCTCCTCCACCTCGTCCTCCTCCTTCTCCTTCTCCTCATCCTTCTTCTCCTCCTCCTTCTCCTCGTCCTCCTCCCCCTCCTCCTCGTCCTCCACCTCCTTCCCCCCTCCAATTTATGGTGGTGGTGGTGGAAAACAAGCCCATTATTTTTGTTTCCCAGCGAGGACCATCGAGGAGCATCTTGGATCGTCTGGCAGACGCCAACAAAGACACGAAACCGAGAAATGGCGAGGACCATCGAGGAGCATCTTGGATCGTCTGGCGAACGCCAACAAAAACACGAAGCCGAAAAATGACGAGGACAATCGAGGAGCATGCTGGATCGTCTTGCGAGCACAAGAGAAAAGCACGAAGCCAGAAAATGCCCGGGGAGTGGACGTCCGAGCGATGGCAAGGCTATTTGATAAGGAAGATGGTTGGAATATTGGATTTCGGTAATCATGTTATTTTGCCCTCTCTTCTTCTCGCCTATTATGTCATCCCTATTCCTCCAATGGGCTATGTTTTGGCGGTGTTTCCGGATGGATACTTATAGTCACCAGCGAAGGGGGTGTTTTGCGATTTGTTGGTTCATTCCTTGTCTGTTTCGATGGGGGGGGAGGAGTGACGTCGAGGTTGGAGAGGAATAACGACAAGAGGAAGGGGCGACCCGGGTAACAGGGAAAACGCACGGCGGGAGAAGGATATTCGTTGCAGCATTTGAGGAATTTCATACATTGAGAAGTGCCGAAGGCGGCGCGAGATGCAGACTCGAGGAGGAAAGGAAAAGGAAGAACAGAAAAAGAGAACAGGGGGTTGAGGAGGAGCGGGGAGCAAGGAGAGAGGATCAATAAGTGGCACATGGAGAGTTGTGGGGAGGAGGTGGAGCTGCAGCTGGCTTTACCTCTCCCTTTTCATCTCTTACACACCTGGCCCCCGAGAACATTCGACTGCCATTTGATCAACCTACCAGGGCCGACCGGCCCTTGGGGCGGGAGGGCAACGATGAGCGGTTTTGCTTGTTCCTCCCCAAGCTAACCCCCGTTACCTGGGCCAAACCTCCTCCCTGCCCCCCTGGGTAACGCTAACGATCGTGCTGGGGGGGTGGCCTGGCCCCTCCCCCCTACATACCGTGGTGCACACAGGCGATTGATGCGCCGGTGGCGCGGACGCACCCTGGCGGGTGCACGCCGCGGCCGCCGTTACCGCTACCCCCCCGACTCCCCACCTTCCCCTGGGTAACGACCGTTACCCAGAAAGAGCAAAACGGTCACACGTCTGATAGATTCCCTTGCCTTCAAGATTTCAGGATGTCAGGAGGAGCGGCGGAACATCCTGGCGTCGAGGTCTGGAGAACACGTACCCCGAGGACACGACGGTGACGGCGGCCAAGACGACCCCGAAGGATTGCCATGGATCTGCCGATGTTGGTGGGGGTTGAGGGACAGGAGTGCGATCCTGTCACTGTCAGACACGATTGTTGTGGGGATGCTGGGGTACGGAAGGTCAGGGCAGGATAATGAGAAATGACGCAGTGGTGCAGCCACATCGAGAGGAAGGTGCGCGTGGTAAGCAACATGGGGGGGACCGGGAGACGGGGCTGGGGTCAAGGGCAGTAGGGAGTGCCCCAACGCCCGAGACCAGCAGCTTTTGCCGAACTTCAGAGGAGGATGTTCGCCCATTCCTCCCAAGTCTTTCCGCCGCCCTCCTCCCTCCTTCGCATTTCCTCCTGCCCCAATATTTGACTCTATCCCTCCTTCCTCCTCCCTCGATCTTGGGCGTGACAGGCCGTGCAGAAGAGCACGTCTTGCCCCTGGCGTGTTCGGAGCATCGCGGAAGATCGAGGAGGGAGCAATTTTCATCAGTTGCCGCGGAAGGAAGCAATTAAATGCATATGTATATATTATATATATGTACGTATATCCATACATGTATATAGATGTGGAAAGAGAAAGCGAGAGAAAGATACAGAGAAAAAGAGAGAGAGGGGGAGAGAGAGAGAGATACATATATAGAGAGAGAGGGAGATGGAGAGAGAGAGAGAGAGAGAGAGAGAGAGAGAGAGAGACAGCGAGACAGCGAGAGAAAGAGCAGGATATATTAGGAAGGAGGAGGGCAGAGGAGGGGGGATGAGCAAGGGGGGATTAACGAGACATTTGGGAGGATGAAGAGGGAAGACCCAGTGATGGGGAGCGCAATTTGGAGGGAATCCAGGGAGGAGGCTGGGAGGGATGCGGGAGGGAAGAGTTCAGGGAGTAGGTCTGGAGACAGGGCGGAAACACAGGGATGCAAAGGAAGAGATTATGGAGAAGGAGGAGTTGGGGGGGAACGGTGGGGAATGAGGCGGTGAGGGAGCGGAGATGGCGGGATGATTGCGACGATGAGGACGACGGCAGCGATGAGAGAGACGACTGGGAGGCGAAGTGGGAAGGGGCTGCCGACAGCAGGAGGAGGCAAGACGGACGAGGAGGGAGGAGAAACGGCGGATGAGGAGGGACGGATGAAGAGGCTGATGATGATGCTTCGGAAGAACAGTGTGAACATGATAGTTGTTTCGATGAATATGCCGTTGTTGTTGTCGTTGTTGTCGTTGTTGTTGATGTTGGCGTTGTTAATAATAATAATGTTGGTGTTGTTGGTGGTGGTGGTGTCATTGGCGTTGGCGATGCTGTTGATGCAGGTGATGTCGTTAACGATGATGTTGATGTTATAGAGGATGTGTATGATAATGATGATGGCAGTTGTATCTATGTTGATGGTGATGGTGTTGATGATGGTGAGTGTGAAGATGCTGGTGAGAGGATGGTGATGATGATGACGATGATCATGATGCTGATCGTGAGTATCATGCTGGTGCTGGTGATGCTTTTGCTGCTGGTCATGATGACGACGACGATGAGGATCAAGGATGATGATACTAATGTGGGTGATGCTGATTATGCTGATGACGATGCTGCTGATGATGATGACGACGAGGAAGAGGACGATGCTGATGAATTTGATGCGGATGCTGCTGCTGATGCTGATGACAGTGGTCATGCTGTTGGTGATGCTGATGATGTTGAGAATGCTGCTGATGATGACGCTGTTGCGGATTATGATGATGCTGATGTTGATGATGATGATGACGTTGCTGATAAATATTATGATGTTGATGATGACATTGTTTATGATGTTAAAGATGAGGATGATGATGATTAGGATGACGATGGTGATGATGGTGATGTTGATGTTCATTATGATGACGATGATGGTGGTGATGGTAATGATGATGATGATGATGTTCATGATGATGCTGATGATGATGATGATACACACTGGTGATGCTGATGCGGCTGCTGATGATGATGCTGATGACGATGACGATGACGATGACGATGATGATGCTGATGATGATTCTGATGCTGACGATGATGATGGTGATAGTGATGGTGATGATGGTGGTGCTTGTGATGCTGATGATGATGATGATGATGATGATGATGATGATGATGTTGATGTTGATGTTGATGTTGATGAGGATGATGCTGATGATGAGGATGAGGATGAGGATGAGGATGAGGATGCTGATGATGATGATGATGCCGGCACGGTTGGATGGGATCTAGGGCGCTTATGGTGAATCATCGCCTTCTTTTGCCTGTGAGACGCGTCTATGTGTCCAACTGTTGTGGCACGGTTTGGCTAGGTCATCGGACTACGTGTTCCCCAATCCGTTGTGGAAACCCCTCGGGGAACATTGGGGGGGTATCAGGAGAAGGAGGCAGAGAAGGCCAACGATGTGGGGAAGACAACAGGACGAGGAGAATGAGGAGGCACCGGGCGGGCATCCGAGAGCCTCCTGGGGCCTCTTGATGGCCTCTTGAGGCAATCCTGGGCCGTGTTGGAGCCAGAGTGGGCCGTCTTGGGAATATATTGGATTTTCGTGGCCGTCTTGGAAGGCAAGTTGACTCGTCTTGAAGGCTATCTAGACCGTCGCGTGGAGACCACCTTGGCCGTCTTAGACTATACCGTGGGCCGTACTCGCAGCTGTGGATGCAATCTTGGAGTGCCTTGGGGCCCCTTGGGGGGGCGCCGTGGGCCGCCAGGGGGCCTTCGTGGGTGCCGCTTGGGCCGCCTGTGGCTGTCAGAAGCCCGAGATGGCGAGATTGCTACCAGTTGCGGCGAAGGTTTTCCGAGGCAAGCCCTATGGGTTTCCGAGGGGATCCGGTAGATTTCCTAAGGAACCCTCGGGAATTCCTCAGGCATCCCACGGGTCTGCCATGGGACTCCGATGGAGTTCCCAAGGAATCCTATGGATTTCCGCAGGGATCTCATGGATTTCCGTGCGAAGTGGCTCGAACACCACGCCACGTTATGGAAACCAGTGGCGTCGGGCCTCCCGGGAACTTCCTGGAGGTCCTCTTGGAGTCTCAGGGGCCCCCCTAAACAGTCGCGTGGCCATCTTTGGCCGCCGTGGACTCATCTTGGGCCGTCTTGGAGGCATCGTGGGCCGCCCCTGACTAACGACTTTTTGGACATCCATTGTTGTTTGATGATGTTTCAGGCGAGAGTTTGAATTTTGAAGATGCGAAGAGTTCGTGAACTCACTCAGCATCTCCATGGCTCGAGCATGTCTCTGGTGAGAGCTACATGTTTGATACATGGCTTCGTAAACGCTATCCTCCAACATGTCATGTGTGTGAGGATGTCTCAAGCGAAACGTTTTTTGTCAGGCCCTCCTCTCCCACCTTTTGAGATTCGTCCACCATCCTTTTCTGAGGATGTCTGCACCGAGAACGTCACTTCTCACGAGCTGCGCAAATCTATACTCTCCAGCATGTTGGCCGAGAGGCGCGGTGGTTGGTCGAGCCGAAGGTCCCATGGGAAGTTTAACACACACACACACACAAAACTACCGAACGTTTGGCACGCGGTGCAGCCCTGTGGCAAGCACAGGGGGCGTGACGCCTACTGCGAATCACCGCCTACCCCAGCCGTTATGGAAGCCGTTCGGGGAATTGGGGGAGGAAGAGAAGGATGAGGAGAGGGAGGAACAGAAGGAGGAGGACGAGAACTCTTGGGAGCTTCTTGGGTCATTCTTTCGCTGCCCTTGGAGCCCCGTCCACGTCCAGGGGTAGGGGGTAGGGGGAGGGATCAAGATACCCTCCCCGCCCGCAAGCTGTCTCGCCCACTCACCCACAGTTGCAGAAACATGCTTCTAAACTCACGCTTCGCGCAACTCGAGACGATCGAAATGGGTACGGAAACAATGTGTGCAACCTGCTCATTATGAACAGGGTTCGCTGTTGGCGAGGCCGCTTTTGCTGTCCATTTGAGACAGGAGGCCAACTGCCCAACAGCGGCCGCTGTCGGTTCTGGACAACATTTGTTGTTGGGCATCGTACCCATGTTTTCCGTACCCACTTCAGGCGTCCAAAGCAAGCCCACAGGACTATCTTGGACGCTCCAACCCGTCGTGAGAGGCCCCGTCCAGGTCCAGAAGGGTAAACCCTTCCCCGATGGTGAAGTAGCGGGATTGGGAGAGGAATCGCCCTAAACCACCTCACGCCTCAAGCCTAAATGGTTGGTGGGATTATTCTGAGCTCCGCGCGGGATTCTCGAATCGGCGTTGGGTTCCCTGGCGGCGCCGCCCTTGGCGCGCTCCGCGCGCCAGGGAGGAGTATCCAGCGCCGATCCAAGAAATCCGTGTTGGCCTGCGAGAAATCATGCTTATGCCGCGTTCTGTTCTTCAACCCCGTGGCCGTTCCTCCAGCAATCTTCGTGCACCCAGGTGCTTTTGGGGCCACGAGTCAGAGGCGCAAGAGATCATGATACTGATTCGTTTCAAGGTTTCGAGGGGGATCCAGGATTAGCATGAAGTCGGGCGTGTCCCCCTACAGGAGGAATACTCACAAATAGTCAAAACATAGCCCGGGAACGATTTTCTGACTATGTTTCAATCTTTTCTATTTTCCATATTATTTTGTTTACTTTTTTGTTCGGCCCAGATCCGCCTCAAGGGGGACATGCCTGGCCTCAGATTTCCAAGATGTCCTGATGTTCCGCGCGGGATGCAGAGTCGAGGGCCGCCGGATACTCCAGAGTTCCTGGGGCGCATCCTAGCTTTGAGTCGGGCATGTCACTCTACAGGAGGAAAGTTTCAAAACAACCCAGAAATTGTCTGGGGACGATTTTCTTATGTGTTCCACTGTGTTCTAGCATTTTGTTGACTACTTGTTATTCAAGTCCGCCTGTAGGAGGACATGCCCGACCTAACCCTAGCCAATCGCACCATGACACCATGCCCGTCCCGACAAATGGGCTTCGCAGTAGCTTGACTACAGGAGGGTGCAGGTTGGAGGGAGGGAGGTCAGGCCAGCCACAGCTGCGGGAGCTCTGGCCCCTGCCCCTTTTTGGGGGCCTCTCGGCTTCCAGGCTCCCCCAGCGGGGGGGTAAGGA